GGAAGCAACGGCCTCCAACGGTAACGGAAGCAACGGTAATGGATCCAACGGCAACGGCTACGGATCAACGGAAACGGAAGAAACGGCAACGGCAAGAACGGAAGCAACGGCTATGGCTCCAACGGCAACGGTAATGGATCCAACGGAAACGGAAGCAACGGCAACGGTTACGGCGCGCCCGCCGCTCCCTCCAACTCCTACGGCGCTCCTTTCTAAGCGCGAAGCCTGCTCTTGGATTCCAAGAGGCTTCGGCAACCCTGCTTTTGGTTATTCACTGTCTCGTGCTCTCTCCCAAAGCCATTCCCCTTTTCCAAATTCTGTTACATACGCTCGAACCTGATGAATATTTGCTATGCGAACTCCCAAGTGGATCCCACCTCTTTAGATTTAAGTGCATATTTATTTTTGCAATAAACCATTACGCATTCATTTGGTATTTTCAATGTATTACACGAAACATCTCCTTTGTAATTGTGTAAACACATTTAATGTGTTGGAATTTTGAAAGTATATTTTATCCTTATCATACGTGTTTGTGACATGATCTAAGTTTCTAATTCATAAGTTTATGAAGAACTATTCAATCATTCATGGATATATATATATATATATATATATATATATATATATATATATATATATATATATATATATATGTTATGTATGTATGTAGAAAAGGTATGAGTGAAATTGGATATCTTCACAATACAGGAGATATATTTGACCGGTTTCGATTACGTCTTCATACCTTTTCTACATTTGTCAACATGAATGCGGTTCATATGTATATATATATATATATATATATATATATATATATATATATATATATATATGTATATATATATATGTATATATATATTATATATATATATTTTTTTTCTTTTTATTTCTTTTTCTTAGAGAATGATAATCTGACTGATCGCACGGTCCGTCAGCAAACTAACATCTAAATTTCACAAAGTGTCAAATAAAAATGCCTATATACACATCAAGCATACGAAACTTCCTCAAAAGTCGTCGCTATGAAAGAAATATCACTAAAATACAGTACATTTATTTTGAAAGCTCCTCCTTTTCCGAGCTAAAAAGGACTTTTAAATATAAACTTTCAAAAAATTCCCCGATAAATCATAACTCAAGGACGCAGTGTGTGTGTGTTTTTTTTATTAATTAAACGATATCGAGATCCTTTCATCTCTTGCAATGTTAATTAATAATTCTTCGTATTTGTCTCAGTGACGTACGAGGAAATACTGAAAAATTCTTTTTACGTTTTAACGGTTATTCTTTTTTCTTAGAGACAAGAATGACGATAACTTCACGTAATTTTTAAAAGATTACTTTAGAAAATCAAAGATGAAACTTCGACATCATACCTAAATAAACAACGTTCGCTTTTTTTTGTACAAATTAGTATACAAAACATTCTTTTATTGCTTTGCATAAGAATATGTACTTAATTAGACCACTGATTGTGTGAAAATAAACCTTCCCCACTCGATGTGTTTGCAGCACAATCACCGTCTTAGAGCAGGGGGGGCAATTCCTTTTACAAGGGGCCACATGAGACACCTGGATTGCGTCAGAGGGCCACACCAACGATAACTGGAACTTAATTCAGCTCAACTTTCTTCTATTGTAAAATGCACTAAATTACATATTTAGTGCATTATATATTTAACAAATTATATATTTAATATATTAATTATCTAATAAATTATATATTTAGTCCCTGCCCGGCCTCTCGCGAGCCGGACAGGGACGCACAAAGGGCCGGATGTGGCCCGCGGGCCGTAGTTTGCCCTGGTCTGCCTTAGGGCCTTATCACACTAGCACTTTTTCCGTCAATTATTTGCGTTTCCGAATGAACTCCGAATGAAAATCACGTAAACAAACATGGCGCTATCGGAGTGAGGTCCCGGGAATCACACGAACATTCTCATACATATTACGGCATTTTAAAGAAATATGATGACGTATATTGTATATACAAATGTTCTAAAATATTAGCTTATATTTACATTCACTCATCCTATCTAATTTATTAATAGCACAAGAGCAACACAGAAATTAGTCAGACGGAAACGGTCGTAACCGTCTTGGTCTGGGAGGCGATCCTTGCGGAAAGCCTCAGATTCAGACGGAGCCCCAGAAATTGACGGAAAAAGTGCGAGTGTGACAGGGCCTTTAGAGGGATTTCGTCGTCGAAAATATATCGGTTCTCTGGAGCATCGAAAACGGCTTTCAACAGCACTTGCATTCTTTTGCAACATCCCTCCACATTTTAGTTGGTTGCTTGCCTGTATCGTTCTTTTCTCGTCTCTCTCTCTCTCTCTCTTTCAGTCTCTCTCTCTCTCTCTCTCTCTGCCTCTGTCTCTGTCTGTCTGTCTTTCTCTCTCTTCTCTCTGTCTCTGTCTCTCTCTCTCTCTCTCTCTCTGTCTGTCTGTCTCTTTCTCTCTCTCTCTCTCTCTGTCTGTCTGTCTCTCTCTCTCTCTCT